GGGCGGCGGGGCCGGGCCGGGGCCGCGGGGGTCCGCAGGCAAAGACACAGAGAGAGACACGCACACAAAGACACTCGGGCCAGCTGCGCGCACACAGACACACACGGACACAGGCGCGCGGCCACCCGCTCCGGGCCCGGGACCACCCCCCACCCCGGATCCCCCCCCCAGGGCTGGCGGCCACCCCGGCTCTCCTCAACCGCAGTACGCGGGGCTGGAGACCCCTCAGGGTGCGGCGCCGAGGGCGAAACACCCCCCGGGACCAGCGTTTCTTTACGTCCGATGGGATCTTTCTCCATTTTCCAACTGGGGTCCGGGCCCCCTCGTCCTCGGCCCTGCCCTGCCCTGCTGGGGGAGAAGGGCTCCGGGAGCAGTACTGGTGGTTCCTCGGCAGCCGGGAGCTTCCTCCACCCGGATCTGGCTGGGGAGCAGCGGCTGTGGTTTGTTTTCTGCGTGTTTCTGTATGCGAGGTCTTAGCAGCTGGACATCCATTTGCAGTTGTAGAATCACAGACGCCGCGCTCGCTGCGTCCTTCTGCGGGACCCGCCGGCTTGCCGAGTCGCCTGCCTCAGGGCCTCCGTAGATGGGCCTTCTACAAAAGCTCTTTTGGGGTTTTTTAATAAAACCGAACCAAACCCACCGGAGCCAAAAAACAAACCCACAGGAGCACTGGCCTGAGCCGGGAAGGGGCTCAGGCTTCAAAGCCAATGCAAGTGCCACCAGTTCTGCCACCTCAGTTTCCAGAGCCACCTGCCTGTGGTGCCTGGCCCTGGCTGCTCCTCTGCGCTGAGGGCCCCGGCTTTCTGGGGTGGGAGCGATGCAGCTCTTTGCTCTTTCAGTCCCAAGCTGTCCTGGTTTGTGACTCTCTCTCTGCCACCCTTCTTCTGACCAGGGATGGGGCTCAGCACGGTGAAGCTTCGGAGGCCCTCAGCAAGGGAGCAGCCTGCCCAAGGAAGACGGCGAGCGGTTGCAGTCTGACCCGCACAGCCGGTACGGCACCTCGCACCTCACTGCTGGTTAACCTGCCGGGTCTGGGGGTGTTGCTGCCAGGAGGGCTGGGTGGTCCTGCGTGGAGACAGGGAGCGGGGAGAGGGTGCTCAAACAGAGGTCCCAGAGCCCTTGGGTCTGAAAACACCCTCCTTTTCCTGCCCTATAATAAAGAGCGAAATGAATGCCTCGCAGGCGCAAAGGCAAATTTCTTTGATGCGCCCCATAAAAATACAGCAAAGTAGGTCACTCGTGGAATAAGAAACGAAGCAGCAGTGTTGTAGTCCCCAGAGAAGGCAGGTGTTTCGGTGGTGGGGCTCTGGTGATGACCTCCTCTCTGCAGCAGCAAGGAACCAGCCTACCATTTGCAGGGGTTCTTGCTGGGTTAGATGCTGTCCTGCAGCACTGGCTGCTGGAGTCAGGGCTGCTTTTCGTCACAGCAGGCTTGGGGCAGGATCAGGCCTCTCCCGGCGGGGCAGGGGAGATGTTCCTCACCCCGAGACAACTTCCCCCTCTTTTCCTCTGCTCCTAAGCAGGGCGATGAAGCTGAACGAGCGGAGTGTGGCCCACTACGCCACCTGCAACTCGCCTGCTGACCACGCTGGCTTCCTCCGCAAGCGAGTGGAGCGGCACCACCACCATGCCCACCACCACCACGCCACCTCCTACCAGCGCCGCTGGTTTGTCCTCAAGGGCAACCTCCTCTTCTACTTCGAGGAGCGGGAGAGCCGGGAGCCCGTGGGGCTGGTGGTGCTGGAGGGCTGCACCGTGGAGCTGTGCGAGGCTGCCGAGGAGTTCGCCTTCGCCATCCGTTTCGATGACGCCGGTGCCAGGGCTTACGTGCTGGTGGCTGATGGGCAGGCTGCCATGGAGGCCTGGGTGAAGGCACTCTCACGGGCCAGCTTCGACTACATGCGGCTGGTGGTGAGGGAGCTGGAGAAGCAGCTGGAGGAGGCCTGCAAGAGCTTGGCCGCTTGCCACAAGTCTCCACGGAGGTCCTCCTCCTCCGGCAGAAAGAGGCACCTCTCCAACCCTGCTTTGCTGCCTCTCCAGGAGAAGCCTGCTGTCCTGGAGAATGGTTACTCCACGTGGGGTAGTGGTGGTGGTGTCCCCGCAGGGTCTGCCTGCCCCGACCATGACGGGGGGCACATGAAGCCCCCGCCGCTGCCTCCACGCCGGCGCTCGGCCACCGGCAGCGCCACGGGTTCCCCAGCGCCCGGTGTCTCACCAGCCATGCCGGAGAGCCCGGTATCACCGGAGACGGCCTGCTTCTCCAAGCTGCACAGCTGGTACGGGCAGGAGATCGTGGCCCTGAGACGGGAGTGGCAGGAGAGGCAGAAGAGGGGTCACCCGTGACCGGGGCCACGGGGCGCAAGCCACCGGCCAGCCAGTGCCCAGCAGCCTGTCTCCCACGTGGGAAGAGCGAAGCGAGCGACACTGCTTGCCCCCTGCCCTGGTCGGTGGCTGAGTGTGTGGTGCGTGTGTGCTTCACGGGGTGTGTGGGAGGGACCCGGGTCTTCCCCAAACCTCACGTTTCATTTCCATGATGCTTTATACAGCTGGAGAGTGTGTAGTACCAGGGGAGCTGCCTTTGAACTCTTCTCTGCTGGTGATATGAGGCGTGGAGGGGGCCCAAATCGGCATGTATGCAACGAACCTCATCCAGTGGCTTGGGCCCGTGCTGTCCTGGCATGGTGGACACTGGGTGCTTCATCGCCTGCCTCTCCTTCACGACTTTTTTTTGGTTTTGTTTCTCAGTGTGGAAGTTTGCACAGGTCAGCGTTTGTTATTGTCTGTGGTCTTGCACCGAAGCCCTTCTGCGTTTGCTCTTTCACTGCAGATAAGGCTGGACTCTTAGGAAATGCCCCTGATGGGCCACTGGCCCTGGCAGGTGCCTCCAGCCTTGTGCCTCTCGTGCCACAGGACAGACAAGAGCCGCCATGGCTGTGGCTGGCCCAGCAGCCAAGGCAGCAAGCAATCATGTTGTCGATTTTTTTTACTTTCATCTGCACTAGCCCTCCTCCCTGCTAAATCCCTCAGGATGTGGATTTCACAGGCTTGCATCCACCTCTTGGGGCGCCTGAGCTCAGCAGCAAGGCTGAAATGGAGACACCGAGCATGGTCTGAAGCAACAGCGAGGAGCAGGAGCTCCGCGGGGCTGATCTGGACTCTGTTGAGTGGCAGCCAAGCCTGTTAATATCTCCAGCTCAAGCCTTCCATGTTCCAAAACAGGGACGCTAAAGCCTCTTTGCCTGGCCAGGGGTGAATTTCTCAGCCTCTGCGCAGACCGTGTCTCCTGCAAAGTGCCATATAGGGCTCAGCCAGCTCGTTGGGCAGCTTGCCCAAGACAAGTGTCCAGAGCTGCACTCTTGCAGGGCCTCTCTCACTGTTGTGGCTCTGCCCAGCTCCTGGCAGACGCATGCAGTCAGAGAAGAGGCTGCAGAGGAGTGGGGAGGAGGAGAGGGCTGGTCCCAGGAAGAGAAGTGAAGGTGTGGGAGTGAGTTACAGGTAGCACTGCTTGTCTGCAGTGTCTGGGCTTGCCTCTCTAGCGTCAAAGCTGTATCGCTGCCTTCTACCAAAGCCAGCGCCTGACCTACCGGTGCTTCCCTCTGGTTTCACGTCAGCATCACTCGGCTGATCTCCGTAGCATGTCCCATCCTCCCAGCAGGCAAGGAGGGCTGCGGGGAGGCACGCCTGTCGCCTCGCTACAGAAACGGACTTGTCCTTCAGTAGGTCAGGAACCTTGCCCACGAGGCAGATGGTACAAGTAGGTGGGTGCTGAGTCCAGGGACTGGAACACCCTGGAGATGGGATTTATAAATCTCCCTTATCCTCTTGGCAAGGGCTGTTTTTCAGAGCAGAAAAAATGTGTGAAGCAGTCTTTTGCTTCCTGTCTAACGGTGTTAAACCTGTTTTTATTGCCCTGTTTTACTAAGGAGCCTTGCTAGGAAAGCAAGAGGTCATTCCAGGTAGTGACTGGTAGGAACCTATTTGCTTTTCTGGAGTTAAACACACTCAGCTTAATACTTTGCAATAGCCAGTAGAGATTGCCAATGCAGAAATCAAATTATTTCCATTAACTCTTGGTGCCTTTGAAAATATAGCTCTGGTAGTTTTGGATGACGAGCTTCCAGCCTTCTGCCTAATTATGGCTCGATGGTATATGACAGGAAATCAGATCTTACAAATATGACTTTGGGCAGTGGAAGTGTAACCTTCACATATGAGTGATGCAATCCAGTTCTCTCCAGTTCGTGCCTGTATTTCTTCACAGCAAGGATCTTTGAGTTTGGAAGGATTATTTTTGTTCTCCTTTTTAAGTGAAAACAGTTTGGAAAAACCAGGAGCATGTGGCCAGAGGCCAGTGCCCAGGCTCTGTCAGCAGCCCAGCTGGCTGGACTTACGGGCCAGCTCTGGCTCCCTACCTGCTGCTTAAATTGTTCAGGGCTGCAGCATTCCCGGCTGGGAACCTGTCCCCTTCCCCATGCCGGGGCAGCAGCTTCAGGGCATGGCAGCACCTGGTGCCTCCTCACTCTGAGTGTGGGTATTTTGGGGCCAGGGTCAGATTTGGCAAGCATTTTTCTGTGGGTTTGTGTTTGGGTTTTTTTTAAATGGAATACAGAGAGAATGATATCCCTGATGACTGACTTATATAAGGCAGTTTGACGGTAAAGATTTAACTTCCAAGATAAATCAAAATGTATCGGCAGTTCCTACATAATACCCAAGAATCGGGAGTGACTTGAAAGGGAAAATAAATTATCAAAGCCAGTTCTGTCAGTACTGAAATAGTATTATTCATTTAAGGGCAGTTTCACTTTTAAGAAGCTTAGTTTGTTTTAATAAGCCAGGATTGTGCTAGTAACACTACTAAAGAGCTTATATTTAATGCTTTAATCTGTCCCATTCAAATGCCACAATTTCCACGCTACCTGCCTTTGCGTTAGCACATATCCCAACTAAATCCTAAATCCTGCAAATGAGGAGCTGCTTTCTGTCTGATCGCATTTGACATAATTTTGTGTTTTATTCTGCAGCACCAAGAAGAAAATGGCTGAATCCTGAGCAGTATTTGTGCTCAGGCCAGCTGTCCATGCCTGGGCCTTTGCTAGGTCTCCAAAGCACTGCGTGACTTTGGATGCGCTTGGTCAGGGCTTCCTCGCCAGCTCACTCACATAGACGGGATGGCCCCTTTGTGAGTAAAAAGAGCCGTAATTGGAGCCATGCCCAAGTTTGTATGGGAGTACAGTTTTTTTAATGACCACCCTGCTTGCTTCATTAGGCAGGAAGCACCTGGTTGCTCCCCCACCTCCTCTGAGATGGAGGCTATCAAACCAGCTCTGCTGAGCATCAGTTGTGCTGGCAGCGCCTTTGAAGCAGCCCCCAGGCAGAAGGTCGGGATTTCAGTTTCCTGAGATGATTGCACATGCAGTTGGCTAATGGAGCGTCCTCTCTGTTGTCTGCAGGCAGAGATCATTACAGAAGAAGCGGAGAGTTTTCACTGCACATTGTCCCCAACAGCAAAATAAGGCTGATGATTGCCACATACTGTTTTTCTCTGGTTGTTCAGGTTTGGACTGTTTCACCTCCCGCCTTCGCTTTCCCTCACTATTTTTTAAAAACAGAAAATGTCTGGGCAGCACAAAACAGGTTCCCTAGCAAAGGGGGAGCTGAACACTAAAGCTGAATGGCTACTTTTCTTAAAAGTACTGAAGTAAAATCCTTTTCTAAGAATTTTCTTTACTATAATAAAGCAAAAGCAATGAGAGAAAAATGCTTGAATCTGAATGTTTGAATTTAAAAGAGATTGAAGCCTGAAAGAGGGAGGGAGATTCTGACACGGACCCGTTGTAAGCTGCACCAAGGGCTCCCAATCCTGTTAAAATGGTTGATGAAATCTTTCCATTTTTCTGAGGCCGAGTTTTCAGATTCAGGCCTGTAATGTATTGTCATGCACATTGTAATGCACATTTATCTTTTTATGAAACAACTGTGGTGATGTTTTCCACTGAATGCAGGTCCTGGTGATAAGAGTAACCTAAAGATTTTACCCGTGGCCACCGCTAGCCATTTGGTGGACATTCACGACCAAGGTTGGACATTTGCCGTTACAACAGCTGCCGCATTAAGTTTGGGGGTGGGTGACCCCCCCCCAGTCCTACCCCTCTCAACTGCCTTTGTACAGAAATTTAATAACCCCACTGAAACGCACAGGGCACGCATGGAGTCCCCGCATCGGGGGCACCTCTCGCCAGCACCAAGCATGTTCTGCGACCAGCGCGGTGACCAGGCAGCACCCACTGCAGAAGCGCTCCCACCGCCTGAGCAGCTTCTGCTTTGGGCAGACGGACTGTTCTTCTTCCAAGAGGTGGTTTCACACGCGCCTTTGTTTTACGCGCGGGACTTGCATTAGGGCCTTTCAAGACACCGTAAACGTTTGTATTTCAGGCCGCGAGGGCCAGTAAATGGGTTTCCTTTGTAGCCCGTGGGCTGCCAAGGCCGTCGCGCACCCCCCGCGCACCCCGGCCGTTCCCGCCCTGCCCCTTCGTGGGGTCACCCGGCCCGGCCCTCTCCTGCCGAGCCTCTGCGCCCTTCGGCGGGGAAGGGCTCCCCGGTTCCCGTTCCCGCTCCCGCTCCCTTCCCCTCCGGGCGCCGGGGCAGGCCCCGGGGGGAGGCGGGGGCGCGGCCGGGCCCGGCGGCC